GGGCAACAGTTCTTCGAGGCCAAGATCACGAACGACACGACCTACCAGCAGGCTAAGGAAGAACGAGAACAGCTACTCAAGCGACGGGCCGAACTCCGACTACAGCATACGGAGGCAGATGAGGAGACCCTCGGGGAGTGTGAGACCAAGCTTAGGGATATTTCACAACAGCTCGAGCTTCAGCGACAGCGCATCCAACGGCACGTGATCGACGCTATGGGCAAGGCTTATCACCATGACGTACTCCATATCCCGCATATTTTTTCGAACGTGGCTTCGTCAAAGGAACGCGCAGAGAAGATGCAATATTTGTCAATCAGATCACAGGTTGGAGGCTCCGACAGGCAGGACACTGCTCCGCCATCAGCTACAAAGACCTCAGCAACACGTCCGCCTGCGGCAAGTGGGGCGAGCTCGAGCAGACTGTCCAGATGTATGCGAAGCCCGAGAACATCGACATGTGCACCCAGCGATTCAAGATGAGCACGATCACCCTCGAGACCGTGGAGGGCCACGTGACCCTGAACACGGGCGTAGGCGGCTTGATGGGGGATCCATGCGCTGTTCAGTTATTTCGGGGCACTTTTTCACGACCACTGACAAAATGGAAATATTCGATCCAGCATTCGGATGCCCTCGCTAACCAGTTGACGGCCAGGTGGCGAGACTTGAGGGCACACGTGGGGGGCTGCACTTATGCAGATGACGTGTTTCAAATACATGTGGTTCATGCACCCATATCGATCAAGGACTTCTTCGACACTAGGAAGGACATCGATGATGCTTTCGATCGTGCTCTAATGGAGGTGGGGTATGCAAGAAATCAGACAAAGCAGGAACTCCAAAAGACTTGGGGCCGCTACTCGCAAAATATGGGCTCGTTCACATCCAGAATCTCTTCCAGGACTATTCAAAGATGCGGTGCGATACCTGGGACCGATGCCTCATGCCAACCAATCCGTCGAGACGGAGGTGGACCGCAGATGCGCCGCTTGCGCAGATTCTTTTTATTCGCTAGGCCGCGCATGGTCGCTTTCAATGCCGCATCGCTGGCGTCGCATTCTTCTCCAGCTCGATTTCACAGAGATTCGCGCCCGTTGTCTCTCGCATGCAGCCCCACCGTTTCACACGCAGACGGTGCACGCTGGCCCTGCTGAGCCTCCACTAGACGAGGCGCCCTCGGAGTGGCAGTGTGATTGGCAGCTTGACACTGAGACAGGCAAAAAGAGGTGTGGGTGCGAGTTTCGAACCAGACGGGAGTTGCCCAACCACAGGAGGGGGATCCATTTTGTAAGAAACCTCAGCTCGGCGTTGACCCCCCACAAACTCCTGCATCGTGTGTCGCCGAGCTTTTGGGCGTCAAGGTAACAAACACCTTCAGCGTGCAATGCTCCAGGGTTATTGCCCCGCTCGAGGCACAACGACGCTCCTCCCCGAGAAACCCGCGAAGGCCCTCAAGTGCGTCCTGCGTGAGTATCACGCTGCTGACACAGGGGATCTATGTTGTCATCTCCGCAGCCATCTTCCTTGAGAAGTGCGGCCATCTCTTCATCCTGATATCGAACCGATCGACAGAAATGGAGCTGGAGAAGCCAGTCTGGCTTCAGGTGCCCCAACGAGCTGGGGGAGAAGTCAGCCGAGCTCGGATGCCCAAGGAGGGCAAAGGAGACCACGAGATCATAGGGCAGCTCGTACTCATCATCGCGCTCCTAGCGCTGACGGACAGCAGGGCCATCGCGGAGCTGACGGCCACTTACGCGCTCGACTATGTAGAGGGCGGGGTCACGGATCGGATGGAGGACGCGGGCAAACGCCACCAGGAGATCTCGAACGACTTGGCCGAGAAGGAGGAAAAGGGCGAGGTGGTGAATTTCAGGAGTCGTGGGCCTCCTCATCTACACATATTCATGATGGCCTCACCTTCCTAGCCGAGCAGGAGACCGAGTGGGGCAGGGCGCTTCGCGAGATCTACGAAAAATATCTCAAGGGCTTCAAGATGCTGGAGGTGGGAGAGGTCGTCCTTCACTGGCAGTGGAAGCGGAACAGGAAGGAGGGATCGAGCCAGGGGAACAAAGGGCGCCTCACTATCGCGATCGATTCGGATCACGAGCTAGGTCGCCAGCTCATCCCCACAGTGCGCACAGTCATCATGAGCATCGGGGGAGAGCGTCTCAAAGCCTGATCGGACAAAGGGACCTGAGGTTGAGGCCTGAGCTCGCCAGTCTGCAGAATAGCCAGCGACTTAGAGAGCTGATTGCACTCGGTCGAGTGCCAGTGGATTGTTACGCAGGCACGAGCCTGTCAAGAATGAGAATTTGCTCCCTATCCCCACGGCCTACGGCCCTAACCTCCCGCCGATCCCCACGGTACAGCTCCGCCCGTCGTTGGGGGGTCGAGGTTGAAGGGGTGGGGTGGTGGCCAATCACGTGGTGGCAAGGAACAGCTCTCTGTAGTAGTGTAGTAGTGGCCCACCTGCAACGCAGGTGAGGTGTTCCGCGTTTCCCCCTGCGGCTTTTCTCTAGGGTGACGCACTCATTCGACAAGTAATGACCTGCGCACACTGGCCACTGGGATCGAAGACATTTCATCGGTCCCCAGGGGGCGCCCCTGGGCTGCGTGCCATATTGGGGGGCTGCCCCTAATGGGGCAGTGCGGCTCCGCCCGAGCGCAGGGGCCGTGGATAGGAAGGCGGCCCGAAGGGTGCGCCACTCAGAGTTCTTCGCGAGGCCAGGTTTCAACCCAGTTGAGCCGCGAGTAACCCCGCAACCCACCGAACTCCAGGAGTCCAGTCCAGTCCAGTCCTCCTCCTTATCCTCCTCCTCATCATCATCCTATTCATCTTCCTTTTCCCCACTCCCTCATCCATTTATCCAGCCCCCTCCTTCTCCTCTTCCCTCCTTCGCACGGTTCGGCCGTCCACCTCTTTGCTCCTGCACTTCCTTGATCACCTCAACTCGCCTGGGCATCGTTTCTGGATGGGCTGGTGGGGATACTTTTTTCGGTCGCGTCCACCAGCGAAGGCGCTAGCGGAGTCAGGAGTGCTACGGGACACGAAAGCGGCCTAATTAGCTACTAAACGCGCCGCAGGCCGGCCGACCCACTCACCCAGCAGCGGCTGACTGCGCGGGGGAGACGGCGAGCTGAGGGCGTCCAGGGAAGCTCGGGCAATTGCAGCCCAGCAAAATGCTGGAAAATTCAAGTTGTGCTGTGAGGCAAGACCCACACGAAGCACGAGGACGGCTGGTGGGGATACGCGGAGCGTCTAGAATATCGTTGTGGATGGGCTGGTGTATTTCGCTTTGCCGGTCGTGCTTGAGGACGAGGGCCCAAGGACAAGGGGGGGAGCGGCGACGAACTCAGGGGAAGGAGGGGACGTGGTGGCTGCGGCGACGCGACGGCGGCAGCGACGGCAATGGCGACGGAACAGCCCCTGTCACACGCCGACAGGGCCGGCGGATGACAGGAAGCGTCTCCGAGGTACGACAAGCGAGCTGGACGTTGTGGCTGAATCTGCACCATACCTCATGATCCCTTGCTCATAGAAGGTGGCGGAGCGCATCCGGCGAATCGTTAGCGGACGACGGGAAGCATCTTGGAGGTATTCGAAGCGAGCTGGACGTTGAGGCTGAATCTGCATCATATCGAATAAAGTTCTTACTAACATAGGGCGGCGGGCCGCACGGCGCGCAGGCTTAGCGGATGACGGGAAGCGTCTTCGAGCTATTCGAAGCGAGCTGGACGTTCTGGCTGAATCAGCATCATATCAAATAAAGCTCTTACTAATATAGGGTGACGCGTTTCACTGCATTTGTCGTTAACGGATTCCCCCCAAAAGCGATTTCGTAAGAGAAATCATTGCAAACATATGATCTTGGCGACATCGCGTTTAACAAAACAAGCGCTTCGCTAGAGACATCCTCGAACAGCTTATCGTCGCGAAATTCACGGTTCCAGGAAAATTGGCGTTTCGCTTGAGACATCCTCACACACATGACATGTCTCCGGAGGTGGTTTACTGCCGCTTATGTTGAAAACGGCGCTTTCGCAAGGGACATCCTCAGAACATGTGCATCTCGTTGGGGACATCCTCAAAAAAATGAGATGTTCTCAACATCGTCCTGACATCGTTCCTGCAGTGCTTCAAGAGGAAGAAATGAGATCGCAAAAAGGACCTCAAGATGGCTTTCAGAGCGCCTGGGAGACTGCCGAAAATGACGATTTCGCTAGGGACATCCTCAAACATAGAAAAAAAAAAAAACAGCATCGTTTTGAAAATTGCTGTTCTAACATCGTCTTGGGATCGCTCTTGAAAAGACTTCCAGACGGCCCACACCAGGCTTCTCAAAATGACGATTTCGCTCGGGACATCATCAAACAAGAGATGTGTGTGACATCGCATTGGAATGTTTTTGAGAGCTTCGAGGCAGCCCCACGCTAGGCCCAATATGACCCCAAGAGCGCCTTCGATATTCCTCAATTTCAGCATTTCGCTCGAGACGTCCCCACCAAAATGAGTTGTTCGCAACACCGTCTTTCACGAACACAAGCATTTCGCCTGAGACACCCACCAGAAACTGAAAACAGCGACTTTAACAAACGTATGGAATAGTGATATCGCCTGAGTCATCCTCGAACATTGGGCAGAACCACGGCAGCCCAAATCGCAGAAGCACGGCAGAACATATAGGAGCACGGCAGGACAAAGAGGAACACGGCAAACCACACAGGAGCAGGGCAATTCAAAGCACACACGGAAGCATGGCAGAACAACCAGGAGCACAGCAGAACACACAGGGGCACGGCAGAACACATAGGAGCACGAGGAGCACGGCAGAACACACATGAGACATAGAGGAGCAGGGCAGAAAACACAGGAGCACGGCAGAACACGCAGGTGCACGGCAGAACACAGAACACAGAGTCCGTAGCCATTTTGGCTCAAGCTGGCTCTGTGCTTCGCGCGGTATCGGTTCTCGTACTCGCAACAGGCGCTTGAGAGCATGGCGGCGGCTGCTACCTGCCAGGCCGTGGCGGGCATCGTGGGTGCACAGCCTGGCGCCGCGAACGTCCTGGCCGCGGCGCTCGGTGCGGCCGCGGGCGGCGCTACGCGCCAGGTCGCTGCAGCGATGGTGTCGGCCGCGATCCGCTCTTCTTACGTCGGCGCCGACGGCGTGCAGGAGGAGGTCGCTGCCAGGCTGGCCATGGTGGTGCCAGCGCTCACCCAGCTGGTCAAGGCCGGGCCCACCGGGGACGCCGTGATCAGCGGTGACATGAGGGCCATGCGCAATTCTGGCCTACACGTCGACATGGGCTGCGGTGCCGACGGCCTGCCGCAGACTGGCCGCGAGGCCAAGCGGAGGCAGCGCGGCGGCCGCAAAACCAAGGTGAGCGAGAAGGGTGAGATGAAGGACATCGAGTGCGCCCCAAACTGAAAGGCCACGGACGAGCTGAAGGAGAGGTCCTTGCTTATGCCAGTGGCGAAGCAGCTGGGGGAGCCGACGGAGCAGGCCAGCGTGTACGCCCCAGACAGCAAGGCTGGGAAGATGGGGGTACAGTTCTCGGACATGTGCGTTGGAGACGCGCTGGACCTGGAGGTCGGGGGGTTCATCGGGGGGTTCATCGGCATGCAGACGGTGGACCAGAACGAAGGCGAGCCCGCGCTCGAGGAGAATGGCGTTGGCAGGGGCTCGGACCCCGCGCTGCTGGAGGTGGTCGAGCAGGCGTTGGAGCACGGCAGCGACGGCGCGGACGACGTGCGGCGATGGCTCGCCGAATGGTCGCACACAGCCCACCTGTGCTCACTGCAGGACCACGTGGGCGAGCAACCTGTGGAGCTGCCCGTCGGCTTGGAGGCGTCGTACAAGGTGGAGTTCGCAGGGTCAGCCTTGTCGGACAACTGTTCCCACGAGGAGGCGTCCGAGCGCCAGGCCGCCCGCAGCGGGGACTGCAAGCCGACTGCGCTGGCGCCGAGGGCGCGTGGCGCCGAGGCGCTGGTGGAGGCGCCCGAGGGGGCCTCGAAGGGTGTGCGCTGGGCTGCTGCCCTCGAAGAGATCACCCAGCAGGTGGTGCCCGAGGTTTCGGCGGCGTCGGAGGCCCCGACGGAGGCCCACCAGCTCATTCTCGGCGCCGCTATGCTGGCGAGGGAGGCCCTCCAGCGTGGCGACATCGCCGAGGGCCTTCGGCTGCTGGAGGCGGCTCAGGAGAGGCGCCTGGTGAGCTAGCCAGGTAGGGGCGAAGCGCCGTGGCTTCGCCTGTTTTGTCTGTGTTGCGTTGTTTGGGGAGGGGGCCCAACGCGGCCTCCTCGGGAGGGTCGGCCGCCCGTGGCCCCCTCGGTTTTTGTTGTTTCCTGCCTTTAAGGCCCCACCAACCAACCAACCAAACACAGAACACAGAACACACAGGAACACGGCAGAACACACAGGAGCACGGCAGAGCACACAGCAGCAATCCGTAGCCATTTTGGCGCAAGCCAGCTCGGTTCAAGCTTGCTTGGGCGAGGGATGGTCACGGGTGGGGACCCTCTGCGGTTCCCCCGCTCGCGGCGCGAGCGAGGCGAGGCGGCGCGGCGCGCCCGAGCAGCTGCTGATGCGGCCGTGCGGCGTGCCCTGGAGGCTGCTGGCGAGGCCCAGACCCGCCTGCGCGCGGTGGAGGCCGCCCTCGACTTGCTCGTCGGCGTGCCTGGGTTGGCGGATCGGGCCCAGGCGGTAATCCCGGCACTGGCTGCGCATGCGCGGGGGGAGGAGCCGACCTGGTTGGAGCGGCTACCATGCCGAGGCCGACGGGGCGCTGTCGACCGCCTCCGTTGCGGCAGCACCCCTCGGGAAGGCCCAGAAGGGTCAACGCCTGGGGTCGCAGGAGATGGGTGCCCGCAGTGTGGGCGACCACGGCGTTTGTGTCTATCGGCTAGGCGGCCTGGACATCGACGTGGAGATCTGCGAGGCTGAGCCGCTGCCGAAGCTCATGGGCGGTCTGCCGCTGCGGAGGCGCACGCCACTTAGATCTTCGTCCGAGCCATACTGTTTGCGGGACTTCGAGGGCACGCGGTGCACTTGTGGCGCAGTGGCGTTTTCTTCCTGCCCCGTGGCCGCCGCCCTCGGGGCGCAGAAGGTCCCTGGAGGCACTGCAGGCTGTGCGCCGCTGCCTCCCATCTTGGGACGTGCTAGTGCAGTGTTTGGCGCTGGCGGTCGTGCCAGCGTGGACGGCATGGCTGGTGCCAGCGATGCTGACTCTTCGAGGCCGTCTACGCGTGGACCCGTCGAGTTGGCCGACGACGTCGTGCCGCACATGGGCGGTAGCAGCGTCGTCAGCGACGACATGGGGCCGCCCCTGGTCGCGGACAGCGTCGACTGCACTGCGCCGAGGGCGAGGGCCACTCGGGCTCGGAGGGCGCGTTCGTTTCGTTCCTGGACGGCTTCTCGGCGGCGGCGGTGGCGCGCGCGGCCAAGGGGCCGAAGTCGGGAGTTGAGTCACTCCTGGACTTGGCCGAGGCCCGCGCCCTCGGCGTCCGCCTCGGAGGTGCAGGTTGCCCTGATGCCGAGGAGCGTCAGCGGCTCTTCGATGTTCTTTTGGACCGTGCGCGTTGCACGACGCGGCCCAAGAGTGATGAGTGAGGCGGGCAGTTGCATTCTGCGCGTAGATCTGCTCTCGCCTGCGGTGCCGCGCGGTGAAGGCCCAGTGCGCCCCCCGCGGCGAGAGGCGGCCCCAGGCGGCCCCCCCTCGGGAGAGCGCGTCCTTTTCTTAGCCGTTTGGCCCCGCCACTCCGCCTTGAAGGCCCCGTCTTTAACCTTAACTTTAGCACGCAGCAGCACGGCAGAACACAGGAGCAGGGGGAGCATGGCAGAGCACGGCAGAACAAGCAGGAGCATGGCCGAACACACGAAACATGAGGGAGCACGGCAGAACAAGCAGGAGCGCGGCAGGACACAGGAGCACGACAGTACATATAGGAGCACGGCAGAACACATAGGTACATTGTTGAAAAGGTTGGTGTAAGACCATGCGTGATAAAATTAAGCGTTTCGCTCGAGATGTCTGCAGACATTGGACAGGATCACGGCAGCCCAACACGCAGAAGCGCGGCAGGACGCGCGATAGCATGCCAGAACCCACAGGAGCACAGCAGAACACACAGGAGCACGACAGATCCCAAAGCACACATGGGAGCACGGCAGAACAAACAGGAGCACAGCATAACACGCAAGAGCACGACAGAACACGCATGTGCACGGCAGAACACACAGAACACAGAACATACAGGAGCACGGCATAACCAATTGGAGCACGGCAGAACACACAACAGCACGGCAGAACACAGGAGCAGAAGGAACACGGCAGGCAGAACACGACAGAACAAGCATGAGCATGGCAGAAACACAAAACACATAGGAGCACGGCAGAACAAACATGAGCGCGGCAGAACACACAGGAGCATTGCAGAACACATAGGAGCACAGCAGAACACATAGGTGCACCGCACAATTGACAGCAGAACACGCAAGAGCACGGTAGAACACACAGGAGCACGGCAGATTACACAGGAGCGCCGCAGTTCAGACAAAACACATAGGAGCATGGCCGAACAAGCGGCAGCACGGCAGAACACACAGGAGCACGGCAGAGCACACAGGATCACAGCAGAACACATACGAGCACGGCAGAGCAGGACCATGTCAGAATACACAGGAGCACAGCAGAACACACAGGAGCACGGCAGAGCACGCAAGAACACGGCAGAACACATAAAACATATATTCACAAAACCGCACCCACAGGCACACGCACATAATAGGCACACGCACATAAGCACACACACGCACACGCACACGCACACACAGACACATACACACACGCACACACACACGCGCACACAGAGAGGCATCATACGCTCACGCAGACCGCAGGAGCACGGCAGGGCAGCACGGCATAGCACAGCAGGGCCGCAGACCACCACGCACGGACACACATGCACAGATTCCACGCACGCACGCGCACGCGCAAACGCACGCACGCCGCGACAAATTTGCGCAGCGCATACCAAGAACGTAGGATATCCCATAAGCCCAGGACACAATAGGACGCGTCCTGTTCTTGTCTGTTCAGGTTGCTCAGTATGGCGATTTCGCCTGAGATATCTTCACAAAGGTGAGATATTCGCGACATCACATTTAACAAAAACAACCGGCTCGTTCGAGACATCCTCGAAAAGTTGATCGCCGCGAAATTCATTTCTTTGTAAGAATTTGCGTTTCGCCTGAGACATCCTCACAGAAATGGAATGTCGACGAAGGTGTTCTGCTGCCGCTTATGTTGAACACGGCGTTATGGCCAGGGACATCCTGAGAAAATGCCCGGCAACACGGCGGATCAGAAAAAAGAGCACGGCAGAAAAGTTACATAGCGCCAGGAAGATCCTCAAACAAGTGAGATGTTTTCAACGTCGTCTTGACATCGTTCTCGAAGTGCTTCAAGAGGAACGGCGAGATTAAAAAGGATTTCAATATGGCTCCACGAGCGCCCTGGCGACTGCAGAAAATTACGATTCCGCTAAGGACATCCTCAACAAATGAACAAATACAACAGCATCGTTTTGAAAACTGCTGCTCTAACATCGTGTTGGGATCTCTCTTGAAAAGGCTTCCAGACGGCCCAAGCCAGGCTTCTAAAAATGACGATTTCGCCAGGGACGCCCTCAAAAAAGAGACGGGTGTGAGGCGTCGAGGCAGCCACAAATGAGCCCGAAACGAGGCCCAATATGACCCCAAGAGCGCCCTCGAGATCCCTCAAATTTAGCATTTCGCTCGAGACAGCCTCACCAAAATGAGTTGTTCGCAACACCGTCTTTCACAAAACCAACCATTTCGCCTGAGACATCCACCGGACAATGAAAACCGCGAGCTTAACACACGTATACAGATTGGGGTATCGTTTGAGACATGCTTGAAAAATGACATGCTGAAAAGGCTGATTTATGACCATGCGTCTTAAAACTGAGCTTCTCGCCCGGGACATCTTCAGAAAATGCTCTGGTTCACGGCAGCCCAAAACGCAGAAGGGCGGCAGAATGCGCGAAAGCACGGCAGAACACACAGGAGCATGGCAGAACACACAGAAGCACGGCAGAACCCAAAGACCACACAGGAGCACGGCAGAAAAAACAGGAGCACGGCAGAGCACACAGGAGAACGGCATGACATACAGGAGCATGAGGAGCACGGCAGAACATACAGAAGACATACGAGCACGGCAGAACACACAGGAGCACGACATAACACGCATGTGCACGGCAGAACATACAAAACACAGAACATACAGGAGCACGGCAGAACACACAGGAGCACGGCAGAACACGCAGGTGCACGGCAGAACACAGGAGCAGGAGGAGCATGGCAGAGCACGGCAGAACAAGCAGGAGCGCGGCAGAACACACAGGAGCACGGCAGCACACATAGGAGCACGGCAGAAACACAAAACACATAGGAGCATGGCAGAACAAACATGAGCGCGGAAGAGCACACAGGAGCACGGCAGCACACATAGGAGCACGGCAGAACACATAGGTGCACGGCAGAATTGACGGCACAACACGCAGGAGCAGGGTAGAACACACAGGAGCACGGCAGAACACGCAGGATCACGAGGAGCACGGCCGAACACATTGAGTACATAGGAGCACGGCAGAACACACAGGAGCGTGGCAGAACGCGCAGGCGCGCGGCAGATCATACAAAACACATCCGTAGCCATTTTGGCTCAAGCAAGCCTGGCTGGCGGCAGGCCCTCGGGCGCGCGCGCTCGCTAGCGGCCATGGGACATTCTGGATGCGGGGCAGCCTGGGCGGCAGCCTCCGCCCGCACGCTTGCGCGGCGGCTGCGGCGGGAGCATCGGCGTGCCATCGGGGAGTCGCGGGCGGCGGCGCTGGCGTGGCGTTCGGCCGCCCTCCGCCGTTCCCTGGAGGCTCACTGGCAGCTCGCTGACCGCGTGGGCGCCCACGCTCCCAAGTTCGGGGAGACGATCGCGGCCGCGCGGGTCCTCGGGGTCAAGGGCGGCCTCCAGGAGGCGCTGGAGGACCTCGCCCTGGGGAATTGGGCGCGGCACGCCCCGCCGCCTGGGCAGGCGCGGCTGCGGCCCGTGCCCGAGGCGACGCAGCTGCTTCCTCCTGGTGCGATCCTGGCGATCGACCTCGAGGCGCAGTTGGCTGCAGGGGCTTTGCAGGTTTCGCCCGCGCCGAGCATTGGCGACGGCGAGGGCGACGACGGCTCGGGCCTCTCTGCCTTCGAGCGGAGCCTGGCGGCGGAGCTCGGGGGCAAGACGGGGCAGGACGAGTTGGAGAGCGTGGACGCGGTGTGGGAGAGCGACGTCGCTGTCGAGGTCTGCGTCGCCGAGGCCGCCACGGAGCCCTGCCATCCCGCGGGGCCACGGGCGCGCCGGCGGTCAGGCGCCCTGCCGTGCCGGTCGCGGCGCACGCCGCTGCGGGGCGGAGCCGAGCCGCACGTCCCCCTCAGCCTGCGGAGCTGCGTGGCGACCGCCGAGTCGGTGGTCGAGGCGTTGGGCTGCGGGCCCCTGGCTCCTGCGGACAGGGCAGGCTGTGCGCCGCTGCCTCCCGTCTCGGGACATGCTCGTGCAGAGCATGGTGCTGGCGGTCGTGCCAGCGCGGACGGCATGGCTGATGCCAGCGATGCTGGCTCTTCGAGGCCGTTTACGTGTGGACCCGTCGAGTATGCCGACGACGTCGTGCCGCACCTGGGCGGTAGCTGCGTCGTCAGCGACGACGTCGTGAAGGGGCCCTTGGGAGGCTCGGCCATCGAGCACGCCGTCGGCATGGAGCCCCTGGTCGCGGACTCCGTCGGCTGCACCGCGGGCGATGGCCACTCGGGCTCGGTGTGCGGGTTCGCTTCATTCCTGGACGACTTCTCGGTGGCGTGCGCGGCCCAGGGGCCGAAGTCGGGAGTTGAGTCACTCCTGGACTGGGCCGAGGCCCGCGCCCTCGGCGTCCGCCTCGGCAGTGCAGGTTGTCCAGATGCCGAGGGGCGTGTGCGGTTCCTCGATGGTCTCTTGGTCCGTGCGCGTTGCACGACGCGGCCCAAGAGTAGTGCGTGAGGCGGGCAGTTGCATTCTGTATGTAGATCTGTTCTCGCCTTTTGGTGCGGCCGCGGTGGAGGCCCAGTGCGGCCCCCGCGGGGAGAGGCGGCCCTAGGCGGCCCCTCTCGCGAGGGCGTGTCTCGGGTGGCGCTCGGTGCCCCTGGAGGCCCTTCGGTCCCTTTTCCTTTCCTCCCCTACGCCTTGAAGGCCCCGTCTTAAACTTTAACTATCATACAAAACACATAGGAGCATGGCAGAACAAGCGGCAGCGCGGCAGAACACACAGGAGCACGGCAGAACACTCAGGAGCACGGCAGAACACATAGGAGCACGGCAGACCAGGATTATGGCAGAATGCACAGGAGCACGGCAGAACACACAGGAGCACGGCAGAACACGCAGGAGCACGGCAGCACACATAGAACATCGATTCACACAGCCGCACCCACAGGCACACGCACACAGGCACACCGGCGCACCAGCACACCGGCACACGCACACGCACACGCACGCACAGACACATACACACTCGCACACACACACACACACACATACACACACACACACGCACGCAGAGAGGCAACATACCTTCACGCAGACCGCAGGGGCATGGCAGGGCAGCACGGCATAACACAGCAGTGCCGCAGACCACCACGCACGGACACACATGCACATATTCCACGCACATACGCGCACGCGCAAACGCACGCACGCCACGACAGACTTGCGCAGCGCACACTAATAACGCAGGATATCCCATAATCCCAGGACGCAAAAGGACGCTTCCTGTTCTTGTTTGGTCAGGTTCCTCAAAATAACGATTTCGTTTGAGATATCACCACATTAATGACATATCCGCGACGTCGCGTTTAACAAAAACAAGCGTTTCGTTCGAGACATCCTCGAACAAATTATCGCCGCAAAATTCACTCCTCGGTAAGACTTTGCGTTTCGCCTGAGACATCCTCACAAAAATGAGAAGCCGACGGAGGTGTTCTACTGCCGCTTCTGTTGGAAACAGCGTTGTCGCTAGGGACATCCTCAGAAAATGCCCAGCAGCACGGCGGACCAGAAAAAAAGAGCACGGCAGAACATGTGCATCTCGATGGAAACATCTTCAAGCAAATGAGATGTTCTCAACATCGTCTTGACATCGTTCTTGAAGTGGTTCAAGAGGAACTGAAAGCCCCAAAAGGACTTCAATATGGCTCCACGAGCGTCTTGATGACTGCCAAGAATGACGATTTCGCTAGGGGTGTCCTCAACAAAAGAAATCATACAACAGCATCGTTTGGAAACTGCTGTTCTAGCATCGTCGTGGGATCGCTCTTGAAAGGGTTCCCAGACGGCCCAAGCCAGGCTTCTAAAAATGAAGGTTTCGCTCGGGACATCCTCAAAACAGAGATGTGTGTGACATCGCAGTGGCATGTTTTTGATGGCGTCGAGGCAGTCCCAAACGAGCCCCAAACGAAGCCCAAATGACCCCAAGAGCGCCCTCGAGACCCCTCAAATTTAGCGTTTCGCTCGAGACATTTGACCATGCGTTTTAAAACTGAGCGTTTCGCTTGAGACATCTTCAGGACATGGGCAGGATCACGGCAGCCCAACACGCAGAAGGACGGCAGAACGCGCGAGAGCACGGCAGAACACATAGGAGCATGGCAGACCACACAGGAGCACAGCAGAACCCAAAAAGCACACGGGAGCACGGCAGAACAGAACAAACGGGAGCACACCAGAACACACAGGAGCACGGCAGATCACACAAGAGACATCGGAGCATGGCAGACACACACCAAGCACACAGGAGCACGGCAGAACACACAGGAACACGGCAGAGCACGGTTGAACAAGCAGGAGCGCGGCACACCAAGCAGGAGCATGGCAGAACACGCAGGAGCACCGCAGAACACACAAAACACAGAAACACGGCAGAGCAAGCAGGAACGCGGCAGAACATTTGAGCATGGCAGAGGACGTACGTGCACGGCAGAATTGACGGCAGAAAACACAGGAGCACGGCAGAACACATAGGAGCACGGCAGGACACGCAGGATCACGAGGAGCACGGCCGAACACACAGAGCACATAGGAGCGCGAGTACACAGGAGCATGCCAAAACACACAGGAACGCGGCAAATCACACAAAACACAGGAGCACGGCTGAACAAGCAGCAGCACGGCAGAACACACAGGAGCACAGCAGAACACACAGGAGCACGGCAGAACACATGGGAACACGGAAGAGCAGGACAATGGCAGAATACACAAGAGCATGGCAGAACACACAGGAACACGGCAGAACACGCAGGAGCATGGCAAACCACATAGAACATCTATTCACGCAGTTGCACCCACAGGCACACGCACATAGGCACACGCACACAGGCACACGCACACGCACACACACACAGACACACACACACACACACACGCACACGCACACGCACACGCACACGCACACACACACACACATACACACACACACACACACACACACACACACACACACACGCACGCACGCGCACGCACGCACGCACGCGCGCGCACGCACGCACGCACGCACGCACGCACGCACGCACACAGAGAGGCAACAGACCTTCACGCAGACCGCAGGAGCACAGCAGAGCAGCACGGCATAACACAGCAGTGCCGCAGACCACCACGCACGGACACACATGCACATATTCCACGCACGCACGCGTACGCGCAAACGCACGAACGCCACGACATATCTGCGCGGCAGACCAACAAAAGAGCATACTTCACATACCTAGTGGACAACGGCGACGCTGCCCGTTCTTGTCCAGTCAGGTTTCTTGAAAGGGTTGTTCGCTCGTCGTTCCAAAACATGTAGCGGGTGGGCACAGAACGGTGCACGCTCGACTTTTTGTCCGCCACATCCGCATCAGCAGCAGCAGCACCATCAAAACCATGATCGGCAGCATCACCCTCAGCTTCAGCAGCAGCATCAGCAGCATCCTCGTCAGCGTCATCGTCGTCAGCATCAGCATCATCACCATCATCATCTTCATCAGCAGCAGCAGCATCATCATCACCATCCGTATACATTTGGGTTTTAGCAGTGTTGTCTCGCGCGAAATTGGTCTCGCAGGCAGCATCTCCATCCATGTTCATTTAACCCTCTCTTATTTTCTAGACGTCTGCCTTGATGCTGCTGAGCTACGCATGCACAAAGGCCATGCTAGCACTTAAGAGTCTGATGTGCTGGATTGGCCTCTTGCAGTCTGACAGGTGTGCTGACACTCGTGCCAGTGGAGCAGGAAACAATTCGGGCATGGTACTGTCACAAATTGCTACGTTGGGCGGAACGCCCGTCCAGTACGTACAGCAACCTATCGGAACATATTGCATCGACGGGGTGGAGATAACGTCGCTGGCGGAGTGCCAGGCAGCGGCAACTTCGCTCTTCCCCTTCTCCTCCCCATGCCGCCCCTTCCCACTACTGCCCCATCTCTCCTCCTCTCCCTCCTGCTCATCCTCCCCTCCCTCCCGGGCCTCCCCTCTCCTCGCCTTCCTCTTCCTCCGCCCTGCCCTCCCCTCCTGACTCTCCTCTTCCAGGCGGCGGTGACGTCTCTGGGACTGCCTTTCTTCTCCTCGACGCTGCACCACTCCAATCAGATGCCGTACGGGTGCTTCTACACGAACGGCGCCACCCCGCTCGTCCGCCACAATCGGTGCGGGGCGGCCTGCGACGGGACGCTGCACGCCTGCTCCGAGTGTGGACCGTCGTCGACCGACTCGAGCGCCATCTGCAAACAGGGGATGACCTCACAGCCTACGCCGGCGCCGCCAATGGTTCTGGCGCCCACGCCTGCGCCGTGGGTGGCGGTGGGGACCGTGCACCTGGAACCACACCCTCTCGGAATAGACTGCTCCGAAGATTCACAGGTAGGGTCCATGGCCGAGTGCCAGTATGCGGCAAGCTCGCTGACGGTTTCGTATCTGATTTCTATGTCGGTGGATTCGTCCGAATTCCCACACGGGTGCCACTACCAGCCTGGATCCTCACCGACTGCTCAAATACTGTATTTCAACACCTGCTCCGACTGCGGCCCCCCGTCGGATGTGGCACACGCGATCTGCAGGCAGGTGCCGACTCCTCAGCCCTCTCTGGCGCCGTGGGTGGCGAGCGCATACGAGTACGAGCAGCTCCCTGTCGGGACAGCCTGCCCTTCCGGCCCAGACGTGGCTTCGATGGAGGAGTGCGAGCATGCGGCGACCATTCTGAATATCCAGTACTTCTCCTCGAGCATCATCGACTCGAACGACATGCCACATGGGTGCTACTACACCCCAGGGGCCACCCCGATTATGGTGTTCAACTCCTGCGCCAGCTGCGGGTCCTCGCTGGCCACTTCGAGTGCGATCTGCAGGTCGTCCACAGCCGCCCCGACCGCTCTCCCGACGCTGGCTCCGGCCCAGCAGCCAACGTCGGCAGTGACGACGCCGACCTCGGAGCCGACTCTGGCTCCGACTATGCAGCCAAGCCCGCCGACGCCGGCGCCGACTCAAGCGCCAACGCCGGCTCCGACTCCACAGCCCACGGGGGCACCGTCGCCGACGCTGCCGACCCCATCGCCGACCTTCCTGCCCCCGCTGGCGACGTCGTGCAACGGGACAATCCCATGGCTCCAGATCGGTTTCGCCATGGACTGCACTGGCACAACCAACTCGTACCTCGCGGCCCTGAAGACGACGGTCTACGAGTTGGCGATCCAGTTCAACGCGTCAGTCGACATACTACAGATGGCGTTCCTGTGCTACCGCGACCACACTGACGTGAATCCTCCCCGTTATGAGTGGGCAGCCCATCCTGAACCGTACGCCCATTGGTTCACCGACCCTGTCCTGCTGCAGAGCGCAATTGCGCCCTTCTACTCCTCGGGCGGCGGCAACTATGCGGAGGACAACGCTGGCGCGATGGGGAAGATGCTGCAGGAGAAGCCGTGGGATCCGAGCGCTATGAAGATCCTCATGGTGATCTCGAAGGACAGGGACTCCATGCGGACGCCGTACGACACCGACGCCAGCCAGTGCCAGCTCATGCAGGACATCCGGGCGAAAAATATCAGCCTGATCCTGGGGCACTTGGACACCGATACGACGACCTCGATGCTGTACGACTCCACGTACAAACCAACGCTTCCATGGCGCGGATGCTACGCAGACCCCTCCGATGCAGAGCAGATGAAGGAGATCCAGTTTATGGGCCTCAGCCCCGAGAACTTCAGCGCCCTGTTGATCGACGAGGTCCGCGACTCCAGCTTCAACGCGTTGTGTCCTTCGGTGCCGACTGCGCAGCCGACGCCAGCGCCGCCGACTGCAGTGCCCGCGCTGGCCTCGCCGACTTCGGCGCCCACGCTGGCGCCGTGGCTGGCGAACTCGTGGGAGTACTTGGACCACCCTTTCGGAGAGTCTTGCTATCCCGACTCAGCCGTAAAGTCGATGGCGGAGTGCGAGCATGCAGCGGCGTCTCTGGGGTTGGGCTACATCGTTTCGAGCCCCGTCGACTCGAATGGGCTATCATACGGATGCCACTTCACACCTGGAGCCTCCCCATTACTCGTTTTCAATGACTGCTTCGATTGCGGGACTGCGTCCACTAATTCACATGCCATATGCAGACATGTGCCAACTCCGCAGCCCACGCAAGCACCGTGGGAGACGAACTCCTACGGCTACGAGGAGCCACGCCCCGTGGGAACGCAATGTTTGGTTGGCTCAGAAATACTGTCAATGGCAGAGTGTCAGTATGCGGCACATTCAAAGGGGATGTATTTCAATGTGTCCAGTTTGATTGATTCGAGTCTATTACCGTATGGATGCCACTATATACCCGGAGCCAGCCCACACCTCGTTTTCAATGAATTTTCCGAATGTGGGCTTGCGTCGATCACAACAAATGCACAAGCGATCTGCGAACAAGAGGTGACTGCTCATCCAACCCAGGCACCGTGGACGACGCACGCGTTGCAGTACACGGAACTCTCTGTTGGAGCAAATTTCGGGAGCCTTGAGACGGGGGTCAATCCAGACGGGGGTCAGCCAGGGCGCCAGATCCTGCAGGATCCTGCGAAGATTCCCTCTGGCTGACCCGGGTTTGGGAGCCGCTCGTGGCCGCGAGGCGGCCGCACATATTGGCTGACCCGGGTTTGCGAAGACCTGCGTTGCAGTTTTTTTTTCCTGCATTGCAGTTTTTGGTTTCCTGCTGACCCGGGTCTGGATTGACCCGGGTCAGAAGATCCCCGAAAATTGTCTGGTTGGTCTCGAAGTCACATCGGTGGAGGAATGCGATGACGCGGTGAGTTCGCTGGGGATCGTCTCTGTCGCTCCGAGCTCGATAGATTCAAACGGCATGCCGTATGGATGTTACCACAAACCTGGAGCCACCTCGATGATCTTCTTCAACACTTGCTCCGACTGCGGGCCCTCGTCGACCGACTCACACGCGATCTGCAGGCAGTCAACACCAGCGCCGACTCCGCTACCCACGCTGGCGCCGACTCCGCAGCCCACTCCAGCGCCTACTATGCCAACAGCTGTGATAGAATCTGCCATTACGACTGGTGATACGATGATACAGTTGCCCGCAGGGACGACGGCAAGCTACTGGTCAGGCGGTAATGCTCTGATTCAGGGCAATGCCACGTCAGAGGTGGTCACAATTTCAGGCGTCAGCTTGCAGAGCTTGTTAGTGTCGCCAACGGTGAGGTCGTACCCTGTTGGTTCAACGATCACACTGCTGGCGTACACCCAACTCCCAACTGGCGCAGGTTGCGACTCCACAGAAGTATCGTCGTTTGCAGAATGCGAACAAGCGGCAACTTTATTGGGGATTGTCTATCTCACGGCGAGTCCTGTTGATTCGAATGGAATGCCACATGGGTGTTACTACGTCCCGGCAGCTACACCGCTGATAGTTTTTAACAATTGCACTGATTGCGGGTCCTCGACAACACATTCACATGCGATTTGCAGACACGTTGTGCCGACTGCGCAGCCTACGGCGTCGCCGACTATTTCGGCACCCTTGGTTGGTGGTGCGTCGACACCCTCGGTTGGTGGTATTTCGACCCCCCCGGTTGAAGGAGGTGAGTCGACTGGCGGGGTGGCACAAGCCATTGGCGATCCGCACTTGCAGAACATCCACGGCGAGCGCTTCGATTTGATGGAAGCGGGAAAGCACGTTTTGATCCACATCCCGAGACGGGCGTCGATTTCCAGCACATTGCTTCGTGTTCAGGGCGACGTTCAGCAGTTGGGCGGGTTGTGTGACATGTATTTTCAAGAATTGAATATCACAGGCACTTGGGCGGATGAGAAGAGGCGTGGAGGCTTCAGCTTCCGTGCCGACGGACACGGTGGCAAGAGACGCTCTCGATGGCTACAGTTTGGCGCAGTCGGCGTCAAGGTCGCGCACGGGCGCACAGGCAAAGGGATCTGTTACCTGAACTTCTACGTCAAGCATCTGACCAAGACGAGCCACTTGGTCGGTGGGCTCCTGGGTGAGGACGACCACACGAGGGCGGCCGCGCGTCCGAGCTCGTGCGGCCACCGCGTCGCGCTTTGACGGCGGCCACGGGCTCCTCGAGTGACTTGCGCGCGCCATGCGCGGCAAGCCCTCGCGGCCGCCGCGCTGCTCTGCCGCTGGCAGCGCATTGCGTCCTCCTCGATCCGTGTTCCCCCTGCTGTTCCTCCTCCTCCCCTCCCCTCCCCCTCCCTCCTCCGCCTCCTCCTTCCCCTCCTGGTCCTCCATCCTCCTGCACTGGCCGGCGCGGTATGCGGCATGTGTGCGTGCAGCAGTGGCGTTCGTGTTCGTTTTGGAATTCTAACCGCGCCCAGGTGCGGCGTCTGCGTCTTATGAGTCGGGCGCGGCGATTCGCTTTTCAGGTTTCAGTTTGCCGCCTGCTGTTGCGAGTCGCTTCGCTCGCAAGTGCGACAATGAGAGCCGATTCGCTCCATGGTCCCTTGCTTCGCCTTCGCGAACGGGGGAGCCGATCATCATCCACATCATCATCGCCAACACAACCCCAATCACCATCATCATCGTCATAGCATCATCGTCATCAGCATCGTCATTGCCATCGTCATCATAAACGTCATCGCCATCATAAACGGCATCGTCATCATCATTGTGATCATCCTCCTGACCAGCATCATCATCATCATCATCGCCATCATCATAATCATGACAATAGTCACCATCATCGTCCACATCAGCAGCATAATCATCATCCTCAGCATCATCATCATCGTCATCATCAGCCGCATCACAATCATCATAATCAGCATCATTACAAGCAGCAACAGCATCCTTATCGTCTAGAGATTCTTCATTATCATGAGCAGCATCATCATCGTGGCCATCGTCGTCATACTCGTCGTCATCGTCATCACCATCATCGTCCTCACCACCGCGATCATCATCATCATCAGCAGCAGCAGCAGCAGAAGCAGCAGCAGCGTCAGCAACAGCACCAGCATCAACATGGCCATCATCATCATCATCAGCATCAGCATCAGCATCATCAGCATCATCATAAGCATCGTCATCATCATAATCATCATCAGCATCATCATCGTTCCCCTCATACGCTGCGTCAGTATTGGTCCTACTCGTCCTCCTCTTCCTCCTGCTTCAGGTGTGTTGGCCGCGGCGTTACTCCCCAGCATCGCATGCAGACAACGCCACTGCACTACCCACGTTTGATTCCGATTGACCCTCCCCCCGTACGCCAGTGCGGCACGTGATTCCCGCCAGCGCTTCTTTATTCGCGTGTCTTCCTCGCTCAACCTGGTCATGCTTCCCCCCCACTCCTTCCCCCCTCCTGCTTCTCTTTCCCGTCCGCCGTTCGTCCCTGCACTTGTCCTTGTCCTAGAAGAGTAAGCATAGGAAGATAATGAGTGATACCAGAGAAAAACCTAGTCAAAGTCTTTGTCGTTTTACCAGGGCATGATTTGTTGTTGCGTCTCTTGGACGACGACGGCGATGGATGTGAGAACACCAACGTAATACGATCGATGGTAAATGGGGTATGTTAGGTCTACTAGGCCAAGTTTGGCTGTAGGGTTATGGGGCCATTGGGCTATATAGAGTTATAGGGCTATTGGGCTATAGGGCTACAGGGCTAGGGCTATAGGGCTATGGGGTATAGGGCTATAGAGCTATAGGGTCAATAGGGCGCTATACGGCTATATGGCTATAGGACTAGGGCTATCGGGCTATCGGGCTATAGAGCTATAGGCCTAAAGGGCTAAAGGGCTACAGGGCTATAGGGCTACAGGGCTATAGGGCTATGCGGCTATAGGGCTATAGGGCTATAGGGCCATAAGGCTATGGGGCTATAGGGCTATAGGGCTATGTAGCTATAGGGCTACAGGCCTATAGGGTTATTGGGCTATTGGCCTATAGGGCTACAGGGCTTTCGGGCTATAAGGCTATAGGACTATAGTGCTATATGGCTATGGGGCTACAGGGCTATAGGATTATTGGACTAGTTTACTATTGGGCTGTAGGGTTATAGGGTAATTGGGCTATTGGGTTATAGGGCTACAGGGCTATAGGGCGATAGGGCTGTAGGACTATAGGGCTATAGAGCTTTACTGCTATACGGCTATAAGGCTGTACGGCTATAGGGCCATAGGGCTGTAGGACTATAGGGCTATAGGGCTGTAGGGCTATAGGGCTATCGGGCTATGGGGTTATAGGGTTATAGGGCTATAGGGCTATGGGGCACCGGGGCACCCGGGCACCTGGGCACCAGGGCACCCGGACGGGCCTCAGAAATCGGCGGCGCAGCTTCCAGGCACCCGGGCACCCTGGCGTGCCGCCGAAATCGCCGACGCAGCTAACCCTACCGTAAGAATCCGCTAGGACCTCTACAGAGGCAAGCTCTGATTGGGGAAGAGTGCCCGTCTCATTTATTCGTCCTGGTGGGAGGAGCAGGGGGATGAAGAGGAGAAGAGGGAAACGAGGTGAAGGTCAGGGCTCAGAAGTGGGAGGAGGGGGGAGGAGGAGTGGGAGGAGTGGGGGAGTAGGAGTGGGAGAGGGAAGGGGGGGGAGGGCGGGGGGCGGGGGGAGGGGGAAGTACAGGCGGGCAGACGGGGGAGGGGGAGGAGGGAGCGAGAAAACAAACAACTCCAGGGCGGCGCCTGCTGTTGAGGCGGAGGAGCCTTCAGCTGCCGTCCGTCCGCCGCGGCCCGCCAGGCCGCCGAGATCTTCATCAAGATCGGGGCCCTCGACAGCCTGATCGAGGCCAGCGGAGGGACGAGGCTTACAAGGCAGAGGAGGAGGTGGAGCAGGTGGATGCCTGCGGCTTACAAGGAGGAGGAGCAGGAGAAGAAGCAGGAGGAGGAGGAGGAGGAGAAGGAGGAGGAGGAAGAGAGGGAAGGTGGAGGCTGACGGGGAGGAGGAGGAGATGGGCGGGAGGAGGGAGGAGGATACTTAGTAGCGGGCGGAGGAGGAGGAGAAGGAAAAGGAGATGGAGAAGGAGAAGGAGGAGGAGGAGAAGAATAATGAGGAGGAGCAGGAGGATGATGATGATGATGATGACGATGAGGAGGAGGAGGAGGAGGAGGAGGAGGAGAGGAGGAGGAGAAGGAGGAGGAGGAGGAGTGGGAGGAGGAGGAGGAGGAGGAGAGGGAGGAAGAGAAATCTGTATTGACCGTGGATGGACAGTGTCCTGCAGCTTTGCGCCGGCCTCGCCTCTCATGACTGCCTCTGTGGCAGCTGTGGGCCAGCCAGGAGGAAGAGGGACAAGGAGAAGAACGAGAAAGAGAAATGAGGAGGAGCACGATGGAGGAGGAGGCGGGGGAGGAGGAGGAGGAGGAGGAGGAGGAGGAGGAAAAGGAAAAGGAGGAGGAGGAGGAGGGAGAGCTGCAAGAAGGAGGAGGAGGAGGCGGAGGAGGAGGAGGAGGAGGAGGACGACGACGACGACGATCAGGGAACGCCAGGCCTTGGTCTGGAGGGCGCCAGCACCAGATGCTGGGCCTGGGATTGTGCCCAGCCTGGGTCGGCCGTCGGTGCAAGGCTGACGCCCTGCGGCAGCTTCGTGCCGGCGTGGCCGCGACACCTGGCGCGGGCGTTCAAACTTGGAGCCGTCTGGGGGCCTCGGGTGGCCCAGCATTGGTTCGAGGTTCTGGGTTCGAGGAGGTTTCGAGGTTCTGGGTTCGAGCTTCTCGGTTCGAGGTTCTGGGTTCGAGGTTCTGGGTTCGAGGAGGTTCTGGGTTCTGGGTTCGAGGAAGGGCGGGCAGGTTCGAGGCTCTGGGTTCGAGGAGGTGTCTTGCTCTCCTCGGCCCCTATGGGGCGGGCCTCGGGCCCCGGGGACCGTTCGGAGCGGATCCGCTGTGAGAGATTGCGCCAGATGGACCCTGGTAGGGGGCCACATGCGAACCCTACCCCTGCCCCCCACGATTTCTGAGGGGGAGGGTGGGGTTCACTTCGCTCGGGCGCTCTCGAACGAAGTGAACCCCACCCTCCCCCTCAGAAGTCGTGGGGGGTAGGGGTAGGGCTCGCATGTGGCCCCCTACCTGGGCGCAAGCTGCTTTAACAGCCTTGACGCCAGTTGGGGCGCAAACTGCTTTAACAGTTTTAACGCCGGCTGTGTCGCAACTGCTTTGGCTGGAGTCATCGTGCTTTGCCAGGAGGAAAAAAAAGGTGGACCCTGAGAGGGGGCTAGGGACAGGTTCTGGAGGGAGTTGGCCTCATTCCCCCCCCCCTCCTGACGGATTCTCTGGGACCCCCCCAGTTCAGAATCCCCGGCTGTCTCCAACAGCGGGTGGCCAGGAACAGGCAGACGTCGAACGACCCACGCCGTCAGTAGTCGCAGTGCTTCAAGGCGGAACGCGCAGCGCCGCGTCAGAAGCCGTTGCGCAGGTCATCACGGCACGAGCCTGCCGTGCGCAGGCGACGAGGCGTGGCTGGGCCGACTGCTCTGGTGTCGGTGTCACCCCAGCGTACTTCTACTATACGTGCGTCGCCCCCCCAGGAGCGACGCGCGCACCGAGGAATCTTCTGTCGTATGCGTCGGGGCGGGCGCGTTCTGGCCGCAACGCTCGGGAAACGATAATTCTACAAGATGGGTATACTGCATGTTCGGGTCGGACGCGCGCCTCCAAGGAGGACATCTAGTACTGCTATGTCTCTTGTGCGTCCCCTGATGTGGAGGGGCCCGGCAGCCCCCCGAGGTGATCCGGCAGATGCCCCCCACCGAGACGCAGTTGCTGCAGCTGGCCGTCAAGTGCTTCCGGAGCAACCAGCACTACGCGTTTGCCAAGGATCCCCCCTGCCTTCGAGGGGGAACAGCGGGAGGAGAGGGAGGAGGGCGAGGAGAGGGGAAGGAGGGGAATGAGGACGAGGAGGGTGGAGGGGGGACAAGGGAGGGACGGAGGGAGGCAGGGAGGGGATTAGGAGGAGGAGGAGGAGGAGGACGACGACGACCGACGACGATGATGACGAGAAGGGGAAGGAGCAGGAAATGGAGAGGACGATGGTGGAGGAAGAGGAAAAGTTAAGGCGGGAATGAAGGCAGGGTAGAAATGAAGGAAGGGAGGAGGATAATGAGGAGGAGGAGGAGTAGGAGCCTACAGAACCAGTCCATCGGGAGCGCAAAAGCGAGAAGGTCAACATCCATGGAGAACTTGTTTGGCGGCGATCTGGGTTTCTCGTGGGCGTCTAAAGGGGCTCCGTAGCCACCTTGAGCCATCTTTGGGCCGTCGTGGTGCCCAATAGAGGCACGTCGGACCGTCGGAGGCCACCTTGGTCCCACTCTGGCCGACTTGGACGTTCCACCCCCTCGAGCCCCCACGCCGTCAAGATCCCCGGGGAGGGGGGGGCGTTGGGAGGGGTCGAGTTCCCCAGAGGAGCGCCAGAAGCTGTCTTGCTCACTCCCACACGCCCTCCCACCATGAGCACTGCACCACAGACTCGCCAGCATAGGCAGCGGCTGGTCGCCATCTCATGCACAGCCTCTGGGGGCCGTTACAGATCTGTACGGACAGCAAGTGCGCCACGCTCGCGGCGACCGGGGCAGCTGCTCCGAGCGTGGGCTCGGCCGATGGCCTGCGGCAGCCCGCCGCAGGCGGGCCCGTGGTGGTCTTGTCGCGCCAGGTGCGGGGATCGTGCTGGCGGACGCGGAGGAGCTGGACGTGGTTTCTGCTGGCAGGCCGTGGTGGAGGCTCTTCCGCCGCTCGGGTCGTGGAGGTGCTCTTCGTCGGGGTGCCGGCGATGCTCCGAGTGGCTCTCCACTTGGTCGGAGGGGGTGCAGGCCCGGTCGGGCCTAAGGGCCTGCCCCCCCCACCCCCCCTTCTGAACTTATTGCACGACGGCAGGCACGGTGATGCTCGTTGGGTCCTGGGCCCCTCTCCTCGACGTTTGCTTCCCCGCTCCTCCTCCTCCTCCTCCTCCTCCTCCTCCTCCTCCTCCGCCCACTCCTCCCTCCTCCCTCCTCCTCCCCCTCCTCCTCCTCCTCCTCCTCCTCCTCCTCCTCCTCCTCCTCCTCCCTCCTCCTCCTCCTCCCCTCCTCCTCCTCCTCCTCCTCCTCCTCCTTCTCCTCCTCCTCCTCCTCCTCCTCCTCCTCCTCCTCCTCCTCCTCCTCCTCCTCCTCCTCCATTCCTTCTCCTTATAGATAATTCCTCCATGTCGCACCCCGAGGCCAGTTTTTAGGGCGGTCCGGGCGCGTCGCCTGAGACTTCCTCGCCACTTATGGCTCTGAAGCTCAAACAATGGCAACAGCTTCACAGATGGAGGGCGGGTCGCTTTCGAAATGTGGCTCTCGCCTCAGCGCCGCGTACATTCGTTTTGAACATTTGCAAGAGTTTCACGGATTGAGGGCGGGTTGGTTTTCAAAATGTGGTTCTCGCGTTAGCGCCGCGCTCATTCGTCAATAAAAGTTGCAAAAGTTTCACGGGTTCCCATGATCAACGTACCAGAAATGGCGTTTGGGAAGGATTCAAGATTACGCGGGCGCAACAGTTATCTTGATTCGCTGTGCTGAAATCCCAAAAACGGCGTTCTGGCACGGTTCTGGATCGTCAAGACGCAGCAGTCAGGTTGACCAGTGGCGTTGAAATCCCGAGAACAATGTTTCGGCACACTTCAGGATCTTCAAACTGTTGTCTTCCAACGAGGCAGTTCCCTCAATAGAATGAGCCGTTATAGGGGCCTATGAAGAGGGAGCTTAAAAAGAGGGTTAATTCCAACATCGTTGATTACTCTTGGGTTTCCACTGGTCCTCCTCCTCCTCCTCCTCCTCCTCCTCCTCCTCCTCCTCCCCCTCCGCCTCCTCCTCCTCCTCCTCCTCCTCCTCCTCCTCCTCCTCCTCCTCCTCCTCCTCCTCCTCCTCCTCCTCCATGGCGGGGTGCAACGGGCGAGGCGGCAGGCAGCGTCAGCGGCTCCACCGTGCCTGCCGCGCAGGCGCCGAGGCCGGCGGCGACCTGCCCGGCGCAGGGCGCGCGTTTGAAGCCGGCGGGCGCGACGAGGCGAGGCAGGAGCAGCCTAGTTTGTGATCTCGTGCTCTCTTTCCGCCTTTTCCCTAATGACCCCCCCTATCCCACCCCGGTTTTTGCCGGGTGGGAGGGGCAGGACAGGTTTGCGTGGCCACAGGATTTCCTCGACCGCCACGAGCACGGGAGCACCCCCGGGGGGCGCTGACTCTTCCAGCACGACCTCCCAGGGAAGTGCCAATTCTTGCGTTCAGGATTCGGATCGACTTGTTTCTGAGCCCAAGAGTATCGACAGGACGACCAGCAATCCACATGAGTTTCACACAGATGGTCTGCATGTCGGCTTCGCTTGCCACGGTAGAGCAACCCGAAGTGAAGCCCACGAGCGAACGCTTTGGGATTTCTCTTCCGTGTGCGCCCCCGTGGCCTGGCTGCTCTCTGTGCGGTCTCGGATCTCCTTCGTTTGCTCTTCCATAGCCGCGTTGATCTCTGAACGGCTTTGGTTCCACTTCCGTTGCCATCCCGTCGCGGTTGCTGTCCCGTGGCCTCACTGTTCTCTGAATTGTTGCGGGAAGCCCGAGATTGTTGAGAGAACAGCGGGGCCACGGGCATCAAACCCCAAACAGTTCAGAAAGAAAGAGCATTGGGTTACGGAGAACAGACAGAAATTAGACTCGCGACCCTTGGGATAGCGAGGCCACGGGACAGCGAACAGAAATGAAACCCGAAATCGCTGCTCAACGCGACCTCTGAGGCCTGGTCTGACTCCCACACCTCCGGTCTTGCGGGGTGACTGTGGCCCACCCCGCTGCGGCCGAGCGGCTGGCTGCGATGACGTTCTGCGGGGCCCGTCGCGGTTCTTGCGGGGCATGTGGTCGAGGGCCACGCTATGGATTGAGACGCAAATGGCGACGTTCCAGGATGTGGGGGTGCTCACGTCCAGTGAGAGGCTCAAGCAGCGCATCCGGCGGCATCGAGGAGGGCTTCAGAGAAGCTCCCCGATCCAATCGACGGGCTGGTGCGCACGACATGTTCAAGCTGGACAATGTATAGCGGCCGGTGTCCTCCTCCCTGCCCCTCTTGTACATATTACCAAATCCTCTTCCATCTCTTCCTCCTCCCCCTCCTCCTCCTCTTCCTCCTCCATCCTCCTCCTCCTCTTCCTCCTCCTCCTCCTCCTCCTCCATCCTCCATCCTCCATCCTCCATCCTCCATCCTCCTCCCCTTTTTGCTCCTCATCCTCCTCCTCCTCCTCCTCCCTCCTCCTCCTCCTCCTCCTCCTCCTCCTCCTCCTCCTTCTGCTCATCATGCCTCCTCGTCCCTTTCCTGATCCTCGTCCTCGTCACTCCTCGTCGTCGTCACCACCTCACTGCCACCGTGCTCAACAACGTGCACTGCACCTTCCCACCCCCTTGCCCCCGATCGCACCCCCCCCCCACACATCCGTCTACCCTGTCCTCCTGCCAGAGGCTCCGAGCCACCCGCCACCCACAGGAGACCATCCTCAAGCTCGGAGACGTGGGCCAGCTCATCTCCCTGCACATGGAGTCGCACCGATGGGAGGAGGCCGCCCTCGGCATGGGGTCTCAACGAGAGGGCGAGAGTCGGCTCACCGTCGTCCTTTCTCCTCCGCCCGCTCCTGCTCTCGCATGGCAGCTGCTGGAGGAGGAGGAGGAGGAGGAGGAGGAGGAGGAGGAGGAGCAAGAGGAGGAGAAGGAGGAGGAGGGGGCGGAGGAGGAGGAGGAAGGAGGAGGAGGAGGAGGAGGAGGAGAGGAGGAGAAGGAGGAGGAGGAAGGAGGAGGAGGAGGAGGAGAAGCAGGAGGAGGATGAGGAGGAGGAGGAGCAGGAGGAGTGGGAGGGGAGGAGGAGGAGGAGGAGGAGGCAGTAGGGATGGATGACCGGAAAAGGGATGATGCTGATGATGCTGATGATGATGATGAGGAGGAGGAGGAGGAGGAGGAGGATGGAGGAGGAGGAGGAGGAGGAGAAGTTGGAGGAGAAGTTGGAGGGGGAGGAGAGGGAGGAGGAGGAGGAGGAGGAGAAGGAGGAGGAAGCGGAGGGGAGGAGCACGAGGAAAATGAAGAGCAGGAGGAGGAAAAGGAAGAGAGATGAGGAGGAGGATCAGGAAGAAGAGGGGGACGAGGAAGAAATGAACGAAGGAGGATGAAGAGGAGGGGAGAATGAGGGGGACTAGCAGGAGGAGGAACAAGGAAAGGAAGAGGCGGAGGAGGAGGAGGAGGAGGAGGAGGGGGAGGAGGAGGAGGAAGAGGAGGAGGAGGATGGAGGAGGAGGAGGAGAAGGAGGAGGAGGAGGAGGAGGATGGAGGAGGAGGAAGGTGGAGGAGGAACTGAACTGAACTGAACTAGCCTCGGATCCCCTGCTGAGTCGACTACACGAGCTATCGCTTTGCTACTCAGCCGCCTTCGAGATCTAGCTTCGAGATCGCTTTGCAATCCGTCACTTCGCTGAGAGGGGCCGCTGTCGCCAACTAGCGATCTGGCCCGAACCGCGCCCTTTCCCCACGCAGGGGGTCTCGGTCGGTGCGGCACTCACCTGACAAAATGTTGACGGCCACCTTTGGCCTCCCGAGCCCTGCCCTTCCCCCCGTCCCGCGCCCCACCTCCCCTTTCCCCTCGGGCCTCGGCTCTGGGGGTCGGTGAATTAGGAACTGGCGAGGGAGAGCGGATGAAAAAGTTATATCAGGCACAGCATTCGGAGGACGTCTCGGGGCGGGGGGTCTACCTGCGTTGGCGACTTCCCTAAAACGAGCACTCCAATCAAAGGCGGGGGGGAATAGGGCAGGGGAGAGCGGCACCACTGTTCACGACTCTGACGGCCCCCACTTCTCACTTCGGAAGACGACCGACGACCCCCTCGAGAGCTCCCCTCGGCGCCGACCCGTACTCACTGCGAAATCCCGCCGCCTGCAGCGACGCCACCAGCATGTTCCCGATCCCCGCATGCTCCGGATGGAAGCTGGACTGCACTCGGCACTGCTCTCCCCCCCGCCCTGCTTGGCTCTGCCCTCGTGTTCCTTGACGCGGAAAATGGTGGCCCAGGTTCCGAGCGCGCCCATCTCGGTTGCGAGCACGATGTCGTTTCCCGTCGTCTCCTGTCCGAGCTTGGCCACTACCTTTGACCACGCCTCGAGATGAGGCGGGCCCAACGCTCCCGTGTCCACCTCCTCAGCTCGGCCGCGTCCTCGTTGTACGTCATCCCCGCCTGCAAGCCCATAGCTGCGAGCGCAGATGCTGCATCTCCTTCCCACGTCTCGACCACTGCTGCCGCGAGCTCCGCTGTCTCTCTTGCGACCACCAGCGCGAGGCGAGCCGTGAGTCCTTGTCTTCCTGTCCGTCCTTGCGTCGTGTCTTGATCTGCGACGATTGGCCTGTCTCCGTCTTGCCCCTCTTGCCCGTCTTTGCGGTTGCTGGGCGAGCACCTCCATGTCTGTGTGGAATTCGGGGGAGATGCGTGAGGAGGTGAGTGCAGAAGCCGTAGAATTCTCGATCGAAATGGCTACAGATGGGACAGGTCGTGGCGAACGGCGTCGGCTCATACTGGTTTCTCCTACGATCATCCAGGCAGTACCCTCGGGCGAGCGAACACGCAAGATGTTTCCAAACCGTACTTTTGCATGTGAACGTCTGCCTGCGATTGATACTGGTTGTTTGTCGTGAGGATCGCGGCGAGGTTGTGTATTGTGTGGTGTTTTTGATAATGTGGGTCCGCAATGCCGTTCTACCCGTGAAGCTCAAGTTGCACTCCTTCCCCTTCTTCTCGATCTCACACCTCCACCTCCTGGTTCCCTACGGTGCCTCCTCCTCGATCTCCTCGTCCTCTCGATTATCTTCGAATCCAGTCGGCGGTATTTGACAACTCGAACGGGTTTGTCGGAATTCCAGAACGTCGAGGCGGATCGTTTGTGTCTGGATGTCGCTCGAGAAGAGGAGTTGAGGCGTGATGTCCTGGTCCTGGAATATTTCTGGGGAACTCTCTGTGCACTCGGTCGCGTCCCGAAAGTCCTGCACGAAACTCTGGGCCCACGGGTAACTGTGATCGTAGAGTGTCGGATCGGCGACACGGTCGATGTTGGTCTCGAAATCGAGGGCCCCGAACATTGCTATTACGAGCTGCTTGTTGTGCTAGGGTCTGCGGATGGTACTCTTGACCCAGCTTAGTCTACGCAGTTTAGCTGCATGCTCTGGGTGAGGGACTCTCCAATGTTTGAACACCTGCGCCGTCGTCATGCCAGACGTCTTGCCCGTCTCTCTCAACCTTGTCGCCGCTCCTCTCATGGCCCGCCTCAGGAGACACCCCAGAGCTCGATATAACTGGTGGTACTCTGCGGCGGTCGGGAGGAAGCACTTGATGCAGCTGAGACCCGCGTTCAATACTCTACATGTCAGCATGGCTCGTTTCCATTTGTACGGGATCCCCGCTCGACACCAGAAAGCTTCGCACTCGTCGTATGACCTTGCCACTGCTCGCAGTCGCCTGCGCAGCTCCGTCGTGCAGGACTGCTCCGGGCCGACGAGGGGGCCCAGGATATATCTGGCGGTTGCTAAGATCTGCCCCATCGGAAGAAAGCTATGCTCCCCTGTTTTATCGATGGGCGGAGGAGGAGGGGCAGGAGGAGGAGGAGGAGGAGCAGGAGGAGGAGGAGGAGCAGGAGGAGGGACGGAGGAGGAGGAGGAGGAGGGACGGAGGAGGAGGAGGAGGAGCAGGAGGAGGGACGGCCATGTCGCCGCAGGCTTTCCAGCTGTCCCAGCAGCACCCCGAGTACGCCCCGAAGATCTACCTGCCCTGGGCCGCGCCGCGGCCGCCGCTGCTCCTCTGCCGCCCGCGGGAGCCCGCGGCGGGCCTGCTCCGGGTGGGGGGATGGCGGCGGGCGGGCAGGCCGTGCAGCGCGGGGGGGGGAGCGGAGCCTAGGATTGGGTCGGGCCTGTCCCTCTACTTGGCGTCGCTCGGACATGTGCATTTTTTCTCGGCGAGGACCATCGACGAGAATGTTTGCTCACCCTGCGAAAAAAATCACGCACGAAAGCGGAAAGTGCGCAGGGAATGCACGTCCGAGCGATGGCAAGTCTACAGAAGGAATTGTCACAAATAGTGAAAAAGTTGGTCTGGGGACGATGTTCTGATTGTTTTGACAAGTCTGGGATGTTGCTCGGCTTCTATTTTACGTGTCGTCCAAGATCCCCCTGGAGGAGGACAGGCCCGACGTACGCCCAGGAGGCTGGCTGTCGGAGGACGCGTCTCATGTGGTTCAAAAAAGAGCCACAGGGAAAGGGACTTTGAGGCGGGCGGTGCCAATTTCTCGAGTCCGCTCGGCTTCGCCCACAGGGTCGCCGCAGGACGCCTCTTCACTCCACTCATCGAAGTCTCAGACGCAACGCCGCGGTCTTAGAAATCGCTGGCGTCCCCTTTCAGGAAACGTATCAGCGTAATGGGGGGGGCGATAAATAGGGGGCAGCAAGGGCTGCAGCAAGGAGTTTTGGGGGCCCGAAAATGGCACATCTATTCCCCTCCAGTCATCGCCCCCCATCAGTTCGCGCCCAAGGCCGCAGATGATCAGGAGGCCACGTGAGCCTGAAAAGCAGGAGGGATCAGGCTTATAGGACGAGGATAAATTCGTCCCAGAGCGTTCCGGAACGATCTGAGAAGGCCGCCTCGCCCGAGACATCCTCCAGAGCCGGCCAGATCTCAGAGATTCTCGATGTATCCTCACCCGAATTGATCCTCGCCCTTACTTCGTCTTAAGGCAGAAGGAGGAGGAGTGAGAGGAAGGAGCTTGGGCAGGTGCGACAAGGAGAACGACGACGCCGACGAGGAAGGGAGGAGAGGGGGGGGGGGGGGAAAGGGAGGGGGGAGGAGCGGAAGAGGAAGGGCGACGCGGGGGGGAGGGGGCGGCGGAGGGCAGGCGGGAGAGAGGAGGGGCAGAGGGGGAAGGAGGAACAGCAGCAGGGAGGAGGGGAGGGAGGAGGGGAGGGCTGAGGACGGAGGAGTGGGAGCACAGAGTATGGAGTGGAGTGGAGTGGAGTGGAGTGGAGTGGAGTGGAGTGGAGTGGAGTGGAGTGGAGTGGAGTGGAGTGGATCAGGCGATCGCAAACATGCATCAAGGGGGCGTGGATTAGCGACGGGTCCCGTTTCCATAGGAAATCGTGGATTTCCGACGCCGAACGAGGCGGCACCGGCCGCATTTTGGGGAGGGCACCTCCCTCGATCCATGGATTTGGCGACCGCGCGCCAAATCCCTGGATCGCTAATCCGTATTTGCGCGCCCTCGAGTGGAGCCCTTTGCGTACGCAAGACCAGGTTATCAGATAGACCTGGTGAAAGTGTGCTCGGCCGTATGGCCTTCTCCTGGGCCTGGCTCAGAGCCTTCGGCCTCTAGCCAGCCGCAACTAGGACGAGGTATTCTCGCTGGTTGTTACGCACCTGCCCGCGACATGGTCGCCCCAAGAGGCGATGATGCTTCTCGGCTACGGCGCCGCACATGGTGCATAACCACATTCGGAGGGTAGTATGCACATTGAGGGCGCAGGTGAAGCGAGCCCAACTACTCA